CTTTATTCAAAATAAAATCTTAAATTCCAACTCATGCAGAACAGTTTTTTTAAATAAATCATAATTATTTTGATTCTATGGTTAATAACATTAATCAGTATAGTTTATTATTTACGTCACAAGACATTTTTTCTCTCTTAACTAACTACAGTCAATCAAGAGACTTGAGCACGGAGATAAATCATGTGTCAATTTATTTGATATTAGATTGAGTTGTATTTGAAAGGTCGACTTATTTTATGCTGACAAATTCTGGATATTATCAGTACAAGCTTGTGGAGATTATTAAGTTATTGGCTGAGGTCTTGAACCGATTGATGTTAGACCACCGTTGGAAACCTGGAAGCGGGGACGACCGTTTCGTCCTATTGTGGGACTCCTCCTTGTCAGTGCGCATCCACGGTCCCGCCCTCGGGGTTCGAACTCGGGGCCTTCAGTCTCGCGTGCGAACGCTTAACCTACTAGATCACTGAGCCGGCTTCCGACGGTGTTAATGTCTAACCTCAACCAGTCCTCCTGTTGCGCAGGTTGACCTGTCTCTACCCGACACGGAGTAACGCGACTTCTCACTAGAACTCCGAGAATTCCCTCACGAAGTTAGTCACTAGTGAGCACATGATAATTATCAGTATAGGGTGCTTCCAGATTTTCAATGATGATCTAACATCAATCGGTTCAAGATCTAAATAAATAAATTCTTGATAATCGAATTTTTCGGTCCTGTTCACAAACTCATTTATTATTTGTTGATTATTTGTAGAAGGAAATTAATAGATTTCAGCTAAGTGACCAAAAAGTAACAGTACTGTCCACGATCTCACACAGTCCTAAGCTGAAACAATGTTATGAACTCCACATTAATGCGTACCCAAGATCACTTTCTATTGATTCAATCAAATACCTTTAGGAATAGCAGAAGTCATAATATTTTTAAACTATTGACTTACAATATGCAGTGCAGTATTTCTCTATCTATAACATCGTGGGGGTAACTATTTCATTTAACCAAGACAAATAAGTCAGCCTAACAAACTTACATATTAATTTAAAGTGAATTTTCAGAAAAATAGAAAATCCTCTACATTCATTGTTCATTCAACTTCGCTTATATTAATAATTTAGTCTCAGTAACACACAAACACACTGACACACCTATCAGTAATTACATTGTATTCCTCTCTAATCTTCAGCTTTTAATCAATTTTTTTGGTTGCAATTAAGAAAAATGAAAATATTAATTATAAAGCAACTGGAATAAATTAAATAAAATAATAATAATAATGTCAATTAAATGAAATAATAAAGAGTTACTTTTCACTCATTTATCCATTGAGTTATTGTTTATCATTTAACCCCATCGATCACTACTACTACTACTACTACTACCACCACCATCACTCCCCAGTGTGCTCCACCCCGACCTTCAAACACCCCTATGCATTTTTTGACTTGAAAATCAATTAATAATAATGACGATTATTATTATTATTGTACAAATATGAATGATAGTCGTAAAATATTCAATCAGTTTTGCATAATGTAATTTTCACTATTTCTAACCTGACTTTTAGTTAGTAAAATTTCAGACTGAAAAACATGTCTCCATTGTGTTTACTTAATTGTTTGTTTGTTTGTTATCAACGTAAGTGATCTGAATCAATTCATACATTTAAGATTAATAATTTATATGAATAGTTATAAAAGAGAAATGACGTTTCATTGTCACAATATGGAACTGTAATGTATTAAGTAGTTTTGGTGTATTATTTAAACTGAACAGCTGTATAACAACAAAATCGTATTATATTAGAATTTTTTTAATGATGTGATAGTTAAGTGATTTGTCAAGACTTTTACTTGTCAATTTGAAAACTGATTACATTATGAATTGACTTTGATAAGATAACTATTGAAAACCAGGGGTGACTGGACAATTGTATAGTTTTAGCGTTGGACTCCACTGCATTGTACACCCATGATTTAGTCACGGATAGGATTCAAGCCCTCTAGGCGTTGTGTAGACAGTGTTACTTATATAGGAATAAGGTACCATCAGTTAGTTCTCAGTTTTAACTTCAGTAAATTTGTACTGAGAGACCATTACTCATTGCCATAGATGATACCTGCCTCAACCTAGTATAACTGAGCTCACTAGGCAGTTGTTTCATCGTAGTAGATGGATATTTTATCGGCACAAATCCATAGCCTCACTGGTAATCAAATCAAGGTCTAATGGTAAAGTGCTCGGTGTGAGGCCTAAAAGTTTTGGATTCGACTTCCAGTGGAGTCGTGAATTCTCATTGCTGAGGAGCCCGGTGCTAGAGCAAAATACCTGTCCAGTGCCCCCTAGTCTCCATTAGTCAAATAACTAAGGTTAGTTTGTGATGTTAACCATAAATGGAATAGTCCCGAACTCAATAGATCAGAATCTCTTACTCCAAATTTGAGAATACATTTAAATCTTAAATACTGATGCGTAATATGTACTTAGCATATGTGAGTGTCCTGTTACTGATTCTGTACAACATTATAGGCGTGCACTTCTGAACCATTGCAAACAACGATCTGATAACTCTCCATTACTCTATTCGTCGCCAGAATTTATTTTTCTGATATTAGTCTGTAAAAAAATACACACATTTTTAAATGTTAGTTTAGTGTTCAGATATGATAAGTCATGCTACCAAGATGCTTAAACTGTCTTCTTCGCCGGTTCTGATATCCTTAACTAATTCTACACATCAACTGGAACACCAGAGAGCAGGTGGGAAACGCGAATAAAAGCTTTACTCCAAGGTTAATTTATGTACAGAAAAACGTGGGTATTTATAGTTTTACACCTAGTCTTGGGCGTCCGGAAATTTCTGGAACTATGCCAAATATAATAACAGCATGGGTGACTATCCAACCCAAACCGTGGTACGTGATTCCGTATATTCTAGATGTTTATGAGAAGATTCTGTTCCCTGGCATTTCTGGACCTCTGGGAACATGACGAAGAATATTTTGGGGAATCCAAAGATATTAAGTTCAAATCCAGTAAAAACTGAAAATTTTATGTGCTTTATATACACTGGCTACTCTCAGTATTAAATAAGTCACTAGTGAGGATAAGATTATAATTAGGGAGAGATTTGTGGTTTTTTCAAGTCGAAGTTAGTTTACACCTTCAACTGACATCATAACGAGAATACTAGTGAAAACTAGAGACTATTCTATAGTCCCGGTAAATAGTGAGATCAAATGTCCGTGTTCTATTACAAATGTGTAAACTACGTTAAATTTAATTGAATAACAAGCAATCTCAGAATGCCTATTCATCACTGCTGAGTAAATCACATTCTCCGGTTTAAAGAACACAGTGTAATAGTAAAACCAGTTGATTGATAATAAGACTCTGGGCGGTATTAGTATATAGGCATTCTGAATAGATGACTCGATATTGTTTTTTTTCTTTACGTCAACATTGAGAAATGGGAGCATCTGAATGAAGAATCATCAACCCGACTGAAATCCATATATGAACACATGATTTTTTTCTACTGATCGACATTCAGATTTTGTATAGATTGAGTAGTGGTACTGTCTGAACACAAATTAACGGCAATTTAATATTACAACCAAAAAATGCATCCGACTTACTAAGCTATATAATTACTTTTAACAGTTCTAGACTGTGCTAAGAAGTCTACAAAGAAATTTCCAAATAAACTTATAAATGGTCGCTGTTCCCTAGTTGATTTGGTTGAATTATTTTGAATAAAAATAACTACCTATCAGAGATGGTCGTACTGATCCAGTTAATTTCATTGATATCATGAACTGACCTAAGTTGGATAACTATTGAGAACCTCGACACAATAGATGACCATTCGTCCTAGTATGAGGCTCTTCAGCAGAGTGGGTTCACGACCCCACAATCGGGAATCGAACTCGAGATTTTCAGTCTCGCGCGCAAGCGCTCAAACTATATACTAATGTGCTTCATTTTAGTTAGTATATGCTTTATTTTATCAGTAGCACCATGAAAATGCGATTGGACGAGTTAGAAACTATGGGGAAACAAAAATACTAAGAGTAGTAACATTCAATACTTCATCACCTGACATACACTTTTGTCTTGTCAACTGGACCTTTAGATAGAAGAATAACAGAGAGAACCTCTTAGGAAACCACATATTTTCGCTTGAGAGTACGAACTTTATCTCAGCTCACAAGCATAGCATAGTGAACGCAATGATTCTCAAAGTAGTATTGAAATAAGGAATGGTTGGACTAAAGCTGTTGACTTGAAATCTAACAACCTCGTTTCTCATTTCACCGTTAATCATTGACATTGGAGTCTACCAATTTAGGTTATATCTCATTTGATTTCAACTGGTTTCACTGAATCAAATGTATATTTTATACGTAGTGTCACATTTAGTAATCGCATAATTCAGTTTCGCCATTCCTGCATACATATATTGCATCTATATCTGACTTAGTAAAACCAGGTCAAATCAAATGAGATTTAATCTAAATTGGTAGATTTCAGTGTTGATGATTAATAATGAAATGAGAAACTGTGTATCTCCCCAAAATAATCTTGACATAAGTGAACCATTCTTGATCAAAATATGGTAGTATTGTTGAACTCTTTCCAAACACTACTCACTCTTTATATCATGCTAAAACGGAAACTTGGAATTATCACATAGATTATGTTTATTTGCATTTCCTATCACAATTAGACAAGTCAATTTTGTAGATTTTTAATACTTCTACATTATCTGATATTGTTTATAAGAGTTAAAATTTTCCGCTCATTTCAACTATACAAGACGATACATAAGCGAACCGAGAGATTCAAACCAGAAAATTAATGTTTGAATATCTAATGCTTTAGTCAATATAATAGTCATAATAATAAGAAATAACTTAAGTTCACTTATACCCTATTTTTTGTCAACTATCAACAAATTGAAATGTACAACAACAAAAAGAAAACACGAAGCAAATTTATAAAAACGAAAGAAAAAAACTTTATTATTCAATAGTAATAATAACAATAATAAGAGTAATAAAACAGGAATGATACGAACATTAAAAAACCCTCGTTATTTATTATCATTGAGCACAATGAACATACTTAGAAAGAGATTAGAAAGAAAAAAGGAAATTGAATGGCTGAATAACAAGAAGATTAGACCAGAATAGAAACTGCTAGGTTAATTTATTAGAATTATTGTTCTTTTCTTATTCTTATTCTTATTCTTCTTCGCCATCAGCATAATCCACACCATCAATGTCACGAACATATAAACAATATTAATAGTAATAATAGTGATAATAATAATAGTAATAAGACACCGGTGAAAAAAATGCACTGATTGTTTCATTTTTACAATGATCATAAACAATTCTTCTCTATAATAAGTGACAGAAACAATACAATAGTTAACAACTTGTAATTCGGTAACAGTATTCATAAAAGTGTACAATAATAATAGTAATAATAATTGTAATAGTAATGTCATACAATATTACATTTAAGATTGATACTATATATAGAAGATTGTGTAATGAATAATATATAAAATACAAAAATCAATTCACAATAGTTTGCGGGATACATTTATCATTCTGTTTAGTTTCTTACGTAACTTTTAAGTTCTCCCACTTGTTAATTATCGTTGTTATCGTCTGAGCAGTAAATTCATCACACACAGGTTGATGTGCAATGAGTGGAATAGTAGTAATGTTGATAAATAAGAAGAAGAACCTCACACATATACATACATACACACACGTACAGACAGAGAGAAAAAGGAATCATATAATAGGAATGTAATGTTTGTTTTTCTCTTTAAAATTAGAAAAAAATTATTACACAATGATGATTACTATCAACAATAAAATTGTTCCTTTTGTAGGTATACACTAATAATAATAGTAATGGTAATAATAATAACGATAGGATTATTCTTACATAGTCACCAATGTGTATGTGTGTGCGTGTGGGGTAGTCATTACACAATAAGTTTCAGTACACCTAGATATTCATCTACATATACTTTACAGACATACACGTTTATTTTACATTTTTACACTCTAAACACACAAAAAAAAACAGAATATTAGCACGGTATTCTCATAAACACAAAAAGATAAAAAGAAACGTAACGTATTTGGCGCTTATTTATCAATATTATTGCTATCTTCATTCTCATTAAAAAATGTGAATAGCATTCTTCTTAAGATTTGAAAGAAAAACAGCATGGTACATAGTAGAAACAAAGAAAATGCTGATGGCTGACTTTCGATGATGAAGAATATTTGTTGCTTTAGATCGTAATTCCATTGAACTTCGGTTTAAATTCACGCCTCATCTCTATCAAACGAAAAACTTAATTCTTGAAGGAAAGAAGAAAATTGTTCGTACGTTTTTTTTTGAAGAAAAAGGGATAATAATGAAAGGATTCAACAGATAAAAAGAATGTGCACACACACACACATACACATGCCAGTGTAATGTAACGAGTAGAGGAATGCGTGATGGAGTACAAAGATAATCACTTTTTAGAAAAATAACAGGTAAAAAACAACGGAAAAAACAGAGACTAGTAATAATATTATTATTATTTACATCAGTACTGTATAGGATACAAAAAACGGCCAGGAAACAACCACCATCGCCGCTGAGGTAAGTTAAAAGTTAATAATCTACATGATAAAGTGAAGAACACAGTATCAAATCATAGAAAAACAACTCATTAATATGAATCATTCGAATATATATATGTATAGTCAAGTGTTTTTCGTAAAAAACAAAAACCAATCAAAATGTGAACAACAAAACTCAATGTTCAATAGGTAAAGATTGAACCAGCCAACAAACAGTGATAATGTATCATCATCTTACATGTCATGGAAAGTGTGTTATCTTTTGGACGGGAAATAATACACAGAAATAGAGAATGGAGGATGAGATAAACGGCGACAATGTTATAAATTGTCTATGTATTAAAATACTTTTCTAAAAAAACTGCCTTCTCTCATAACAATAAACAAACAAACAACATGATACAAAAAACGAACAAACGAATAAACAAAAATACATATTATAAATAATTGGGATACAAATAGAATATCGATTTGGAAAACTATTATCATTATTATTATTATTGCTATTATTATTAGTAGTGGTACTGCTACCTTTGTTGGTTATGAATAGTCAATCAGTAAGGATTAACGAGAGTAGTCATGTTGTCTATATAGTTATAAGAAATGAAGAGAGAGAGAGAGAGTATCAAGAAGTTATTATTTGTCAATCAACATTATATCGATGATATTGTCATCTTCAAAGACTATGATGTTATGCGTTATCTGATCTCATATGAAATAGTAAACTAACTGATCAATGTAGCAATTAAGCAATAAGAACACCTTTTGAAAATGTATACATTTTCAATGTTTACTTCACAATAAGTAGATTCAATTGGAGTTCTAAAATTTAAATCGAAGAAAGGAAAATTAAAAGTAGGAAGACAATGAAGAAGGAGGAATAAACTGTGGAAGAAATCAATCCATAGAATAAAGAAAATAGGTAAAAATTGAATCATGATTGCATAAATTCCAGGAATATATGTACATGATCAATCGGAAAAAGATAAGCGGAAAAGCAATGTTCAGAAGACATCGGCGCCAACATGATTACTAACTTTGAAATCAGTGTAATAAACATGAGTTGTGTGTTCTCTTTTGATCACAAAAATAAGGTAATGATGATGAATTTGGTCGGCAATCGCCGAAACCACAAAGAAAGATAGGACGAAAGAGATGGGAAGAACAGAAGGCCAGAGAACGGAGTGGAATGGGAGGGGGTGTATATAATTCATAATTATAAACAACACAAATTAAAAAATTTTCAAAAAAAACAAACACAAATAAATGCTAAGTTAAAATACTATCTTCTTTCCCTGAATTTCTTGTGGAATATTCATTAGTTAATTGAAAATAAGTTGATTTATCGGGTAGAATGTAAGAATTTTCACTTTTCGATAATATATTACTTGATATGATGTTAGTAGCAGTATTACAGGAAGGAGGTGTATGTTGTTTGTGAGCGGATATTATATTGGATGTATTTGATGCATCATTCAGATCAGTAGTTTGAGTAATACTAGAAGTAATTACATTATCAATAGTATCAGTAGTATTTTGATCATGATGATGATTGATATGATTTATGTTAGTTTTAGCGTTTTTATTATGTATTGGTGTCTTCAATGTACGTCGACGTCCACGTAAGATGATAGTTGTCGGTTTATCATTTACCTTTTTATTTACATGAGTTAATAATTCCGTCGATTGGGTTCCATCAGTATTTGTAACAGCAATGCTAATACTATTACGACCGACATCAACGCCACATCGATTACCATTATCGCTTTTAGTACAATCCATAGTTTTATTACTGTCAAAGGAACTGATATTTTCATTATTAGTAGTATTAGTAGTAGTAATAGCAGTATCATTTGTATTGTCGTTTGTATCCATCTGTGCAATATGAATTAGCTTTTCTTGTAATAAGTTATCAATATGTTGGGAATGTTCATTTGGCAATAAAACCTGTACATTTTTATTGATTTGATCATTTGATGAGGATGTTTCCATGGTGATATTGGGTGATAATTTCTTACGATGATCAGTATGTGTTTGAGACCTCAATGAATTATCGTCATCATCATCATCATCCAAGGAATAATTATCCACATTCATGGTGGTTAAAGTTGGCATTTCAATATCATCGTCAGTGTTGTCAATATTATTATCATTCATAGTTTCAATCATTTCCGTTTCATGATCAATAATCACAGTATTCTCAACTTCTTTTCCATTATCTCCATCTGAAGATGGCAATGATATCGGTGGTGGTGGTCGTCGTCGTCGTGGTGATAACGATGATGTTAGTGATAATGGAACTTCTTTCTGATCATGTTTCAATATTGTTGTTGTTGTTTCTTCAAACAACTTTATTTCATTATTGTCATCAAAATAATCCATACCATTACTGCTAGCATTACGACTCATACAATTATTGTTTTTAGTAGTAAAGGTGGTAGTATTTTCTTGCTGATCCTGTTGTTGTCCACCGACTGTAAGCAATTTACGTAATGCTTTAACTTCCATACTTAAACCACTTAATTCATTACGTAGGCAACGATTTTCACTTTGTAATTTCTCTGTAGTTTCTGTACGTCCAAGTAGACGTGCACGTTTATTTTCACGACAACGACGTACTGCTTCATTATTACGACGTCGACGATCTTGATAACGTTTATCCAGGGTTGATGTACCTGAATTTGAATCACTTAGAAAATGTTCTACAAATAAAGGGAAAGAAAAAAGATTTTTCAAGAGGAAAACATAAGTATTGGACAAATACATATGTCACATTTATTATTATTATTATAGACTTATTTACTGAGTATATATTTGTGAACTCGGATTTAAACCATACTCTAAGTCCAAGGGCTGATAAGATTAACTAGTTTATCCCAAACTGAAATGAATTGGAGAGGGTTTCGAACCTGTGAGTAAGTAGCTGGAAATCAACATGGAGTATCTATAATATTGGGAAAATTTATATCTATTGTAAGATTCAAACATATCAAATAACAGTATATCAGTCTGAAGAATACATGATCATTGAACCATTTAGGAGACGACTGATTGAGACATTCTTGATGACTGATCACTGGGTGATAACCAAAGTTGTATGTGGTTGCGTAATAGTTTGAAGTCCGATAAAAAATAGTAGTTGTAGATCAGAATTAGGAGAAATAGCCGTTCATTTGAAGAACATGAAGATGGTAAAGAAAAATCATACAGTGGAACAAGTAATACATTATTTTCACATAAGCTAAAACTAGAAGACGATTAGAACTATAGTTGCTGGATTCATAAGGTTTCTTCCTAGTACACACGTTTTTACTTAGTACTCTTTGCAATCTCGTTAATTTGACTGAGATAATCGTAAAAATTAACTAAGAGGTTCATGACGTAAACCAACTTGCAACCCTTAATAGTGTATCCACTAGTAGTTGGCTTCGAGAATTTACTTAAATATCACGACAAATCTTGGAGAGTGCAAGTATTAAGAGATATGTAGAATGAAAACAAAAGACAAGTCATGATGAATATGTAGAAAAAATTTAAGCATTTAACTACTAACTACTACAATCATGATTATACTGAGAACAAAATGACCTTCTGGTTTTATGTAGGATATATACATTCTGTTTAAATAGGAAACTAGACAACAATAGTCTACACATATTTCCATAGTTCGTTTGTTTCCTCTACCATACTTGAATTATTTTGTTGCTTAAAACAGGAATGCTTTGTTCACCTCTACTTACCTTTTTTTATTGATCTTATCATATTTAATAATCAGAGTGTGTATATGAAATGAAAAACAACAAAGTACAAGAACAACAATAGGATAGCGCAATCAACCATATATATAATATTAGTCTCGACTATGTGTATACATATGTATGTCTCATTATTACACTAACACATACGAAAAATTCCTCCCCTAACACCAAAACCCAATACACCGATTCTCATCAGAGAATAACTAATCAAGATGAGTTTTTCATTTTTATTTCTAATAAGTTATTTTTTGCTTTCATTTATTATTTTTTTTAAAAGTGTACCATCATAAGCGCAGTACCTATAATCATACTACCACTAACTACTATTAACCAAGGTTACAAATAATGAGTCATATTCTATTATTATAGGCCTCATCATTTGCAGTAATAGTAGTATGTAAACAAGGCATTTTTTTTTCTAATTGTCCAGACTAATAAAATATAAGAATTAGAACCTCTATCCATAGTTCATGTCATTTTGTTAGGGTAATATAGATATGACTGAAAACGTAGGCGTTATATTACAAACTATTTAAATCTTCATTATTTGATTGGTTCGTTTTGATAAATGAATATGGAGTTAGTCAAATTTATTACTCTTTTGGTCTGATCAGTCACCATTCCAACTTGATGATTTGCTTGTATACATACAATACATGTTCTAATATTAATTTTTTTTTATAAAAACAAAACAATAAATGCATAATTACATTAATTTTACCATATGCATATGGTACATTAGAATGATAATGACCATAACCATTACTACGAATACAGCTACTACAACTTACTACAGTATTATGTGTATTTGCTGCGTCATCATCTCTGTTGGACGATGACGCTACAAATCGAAGACTTGTGTATGACACAGAAAAGTATTCAGAGAAGATTGTAAAAAAACTGAATACACTCGTACGTACATACACATATATATATATACACATACACAAGTAGTACTACTACACGATGTTGCTGACTAATAAATGAAATAGTCTCAGTCCCCAAGGTCAAGCAAACAACAACACAATACACGGTCCAAAGAGAAAGAGAATGTGTTTTTTTTTAAAAAAAAGATTACTTAGGGGTAGAAAAAAATTTAACACAAGTATGTGTTGGAAGTAAAAAAAATATAGTACCTTGATAACGGTTTGATGAGTGACTGGTTGGCTGGCTAGCCAGCTGGTTAGACAAATGCACTACTCCCGTTATTACTAATGCTACTACTAGTATAGACATTTCCTTAATATATATATTCAGATATGCAAGCAGATTGACGGGAGAATGCAGTATTTTACAAAAATACAAGGTTGATTGTTATCGTTTATCTATAAATATTGAATATCAATCTGTATTGTTTATTTACTAATGTCTGTGTATATATAGTGTGTATATATAAAATTTATCTATCTCACTCGCTATGAGGGGCCTTGACATTTTTTAAAATAGTAAATAATAATAGACGAATTCCAATATGGTAATATAACACTCAGACAGTAGTTTAAAGGACTTTAAAAGAATCCCATTACTTCTACTGTCATATAATATTTTATTGTATTCACCACGAGAAAAAAATGATAAAAGAGAGAAGAGTTTTGTCATATGCGCAATATAAAAGTGACTAGGTAATTACTTTGCCATTGTCTGCATGGCTTGATACAATAACATTTATTTACTTATTTATTTATAATAAGGATTTGAACAACAAAACAACACAATAATCCCCGGTAATATTGATAATGTAATTCGTTTAAAACAATGAATTTATCTACTTGTATACACACACTGATCTTTATTTATCAGTGACAATAACAGTCGAAAATATCAAATAAACATTACGCAACGTGAAAACCAGTAATCCTTTATCTGTTTAATACAAATTAGGTATTGATACAGTGAAGAGAAAATAATACATTTGTAATTGAAAGAGTTCAATCACTATGGTTGATAATGACAATTATTATTATGAAAAAATGGATTGAATAATAGTTGAAATACATTGTAAGTTGGCAACACAACTGTCTATTGTGTTACTACTCAGTTTCTCATGATTCCATCCTAATGATTACATGCTTATTTACGCCTGTTATCCTAAGTGAATGAGCGTTGGCCGCCTACCCGCATTCTTCATCCAACTCTGTCCTGGACAATCCTTTCCAGTTGCTATTCATTCTACTCATGCCTGCTTCCAATTTCTAACGTAGTGTGTTCTTTGACCTTCCTTATTTCCGTTCCCATTCAAGATTCCAAGTTAGCGATTGCCTTGTGATGCAGTTTTATGATTTCCGTAATGTATGTTCTATCCACTTCCAACATCTTTTCCTAATTTCCTCTTCAGTTGCAAGCTGGTTTGTTCTCTCCTATAGTATTTCGTTGCTGATTATTTCCGACATACGGATATTAAGTATCTTGCATAGACAACTGTTTATAAATACTTGTAACATTTTGGTGATGCTCGTAGTAGTTCTCTACGTTTCAGATCTGTACAATAGAACTGTCTTGACGTTCGTATTGAAGATTGTGACTTTGATATTGGTTGAGAGTTGTTTCAAGTTCCATATGTTCTCCAACAGTAGGAATATGGCCCTCGCTTGTCTGCATCGGATCCTCCTTGTTCATCAATGATGCTGACCAGCTACGTGAAAATTACCACCTCTCCCAGAGTTTCTCCATCAAGTGTGATTGCATTGGTGTTTTCTGTGATGTATTTCAGGATCTTGGTTTTCCCCTTGCGTATGTTGAGGCCTACTGCTTCTGAGGCTGCTGATACATTGTTTATCTTCATCTGTATTTGCTGATGTATAAGCGATAGAGTGGTCAGGTCATCTACAAAGTCCAAATAATCTAGTTGCATCCAACCTGTCCATTTTATTTCATGCTTCTCCTCAGATGTCGAAGTCTTCATAATCCAGTCAACCACCAGAAGAAAGTGAAAGGGATAGAGTAGGCAGTCTTGTCTGTCTCCAGTCCTCATTTGGAATGCGTTTGTCAACTGTCCTCGATGCACTACTTTGCAGTGAGTATGAGTTCCGTATGATGTTGAAGATTCCCTTAAGTATACCATAGTGTCGAAGAAATCCTGGTAATAACATTCAATAATTTTGGTTAGTCTGTTATTTATTTATTCTATTATTGATTATTATCCCAAGTATGTTATTCAAAATTAATTGTCAATCACAGTCTACATAGAGCCTAGTTACCACACTATATCATTACTGTGAGATGAGACTATCGAGACAAATACCAAAGTATTAGAAATATTAACAGTAACAACGACTGTAGAAAACATGACTAATATGACTCAAAAAGAATTAATTAATTAATTAATCAAATAAAATGTTTAAAATCAGTTTAAAGATCAAGATCCAAGGTATGACAATGAATAAATGAATCTGTGCCATTGCAACCGATTCGGAGTTGCGTAACCTAATATCTCTAACAAATTGTTAATGACACAATTCATCAATTGATTACTTCACAGACTGATATCACTTATTGCATTGGGCCACCACAAGCTTTCTTCACACTAACTTCTCTAATGTCAGGAAACTTCTTACGTCTAAGTAGGCTTAGTGAAGTCTCTGTAATAAATCTTACAACCACATTGGTTGATGAAAATTCACTGCATTATCAACCTATTTCCCATCTCTATCTGGTACACTGCATCTAACCACAACATCACTCATATATTAGGTCTCAACATACATGAATAATGCTTCAAAGAAACTTATGACCGATTGCCAGATATATTATCAATAACCAATAATTCACTTCACACTACAATGTCTCTTGTCAACCAATATAAACAGTTCTCAGTACTAAGCAAAAATGGATGGTGACTAGCGGTGGAATCCGGGAAGCACGTTTCATTTTATTTGGGACTCGTCGGCTGGATGTACCTGCATCCAATAGTTGGTGTCCACTCATTAGTGTTCAACGTTTTTTGT